ATTTCAGTTCAGCTCGTCCACAGCAGTCGCCAGACCCCGAAGGAGAGGATTTATTCAGACAGAATGCCACTAAAGCAGTGCAGCTTCTTTAGTGGTCAGGATAGACTCTTTTCTGTCTGTTTTGTTATATTGTCACGGATGCTTGCTCCAGTCCTACCTTCTGTCAATATTTACTATTCTGGAAAGTTCCAGGCCATGCTCAGCTGTCATTGTATGTTCTGGTGGAGGTGCTGCGCACTTTACCCATAGCCCTTCACTCTGTGTATGCCGTGGCGGCTCCCCAGCCGAGTTGCCCGATAACAAGACACGGGTGGCACATTATCCCGAGTCAAACCCCCAGCGAGCCGTGAACCAGGTCCTATCCCGAGCCCGGCAGAAAAACCGCAAGACGAGCGAGTATCACAAGGACGAAACTCGGAAATACACCACGAAGAACTTGAAATCCAAGCCAGTCGCTGCTACCTGCAAGAACCACCGGAATTAGGTCTTTTGCCAGAAAAAACCGAAGCTGACTAAGTCAACAATGACAAACCTGTAGCAGCAAACCACATCCGCTCCCACCATCGTTTGCATGCCCGTCGCATTTCGCACTCTGATGCCCTTTCACGCAAGGTGCATAAGACGTCGAGGGCTGGATTGAACAATATGACTGTGTCGCCCGCCACAGTGGGTAGATGGACAACCAGCTCCTGCAGAACCTATACTTCTCGTGGAAGAAACTGCGAGGCACTGGTTTGAGAGCCACGAATCCTCCTTAACGTCATGGGAAGTTTGCAAGATCGGGCTGAAGTGCATGTTCATCAGCCAACATTGACGAGAGAGAGCCGAATTCCTGATTCTGTCCAGGACACGGCCCCAACAAGAGCGTCGCTGCCTTCATGGAGGATGTTTTGCGCTTGATCGAGCACCCACGCCAACCCCGTATGCTACAGAAGACAAGAAGCTAAGAATCCCATGTTCCTTATGTGAGGTACAACACCTTCAGCAGCCTTGTCCGCAACCCCACGACAACAGTCGAAGGCCGGGTTCATATCAATGAAGCTTCCAACATTGAATGTACACTGCAGGCCTGAGCATGTCACTATCAACAACTCCCCAGCGTCGCAACACTCGAGTCGTCCAGCTGCAACTTCGACACCAGCCCCCCAGGCGTCCGTGACATCATTCACAACGGTGTCCGGGAGGAGATAAGGAAGCTAGTTCCTGCCATCAGTTGCCCGGCTTTTATTTTGATCGCCGAGATTGTTTCGGAAGAAGTTCGACAAGCATTTCAACTGGAGACTTCTTCGAGCGAAGCGGCATATGACGAAACTAGGGCGACTTATGCCACAAAGTCACAACGACCACCACAGGCTACCTGTTACTATTCAATGCCAATTCAACGAGACACCCCAACGCCGAAGCATTCCTGACATCGGGAAGAACCAGTGTAGGTCCGCGCTGAACAAAGTACACCGAGGAAAACAAAGGTACTGCGAATGGCCAACCGAAAACCACTCTGCTGCCACTGCACGAGGCCGACCATGTCTACTAAAGGTTCCCGTACCAATAAATTGGCCTGCAAGGGTTTGTGCCGAACGACCCTCGACCACGTCTCGACGAGCGTCCGGGGAAGATTGAGGACTATTTTCGGCGGTCTTTGTCCCTGGTGCCGACATTACCCCGAAGCTTGTGATCTACTTCATCTGGACGGGAGGTAAGCACGACAAAGCAGGTGAGCGGCCATGCAAGGAGAGCTGATCTGGTGTCGGTTGTCGTCCAAGGACAATACCTGATAATTTGCTGACACTAATTATCTGTGTCCACACCACGAAGCACACAATTTCCAACGTTGACAGAGAATGCCGCTCAGTGACCTTAAGAAATAGAATGGTTGGTTGCTCTCAAAAGTGGACTGCAAGCATCACGAGACTTCACTTTGCCACACAAGACTTGCACAAGTTGCAGTAGTCGTGGGATGCAGAATAAATCTCCATTACGAAATGGAAGTGAAAATTCTTGGATAGCAAACAAACATTGTTGCCAGCTATCAAGTCAACGGTACAGCAAAAGGCACAGCCACCTAATGAATACGTGCCCGAGCTTGCTGCATTGATGCAGAAAAATACCAGGAAAGTTTTGCAGATTAGAAGCCACCCTGGCAGCTTCAGTGCATCAGATGTCAGTGGGCACACATGACGTATGATTACAAGACGCCATCAGTCGGTCAAAGTTGTTACTCAACCAAACTGAACACAGACGTGCCAGGAGCGTCGTCCTACAACAAGGTCCACAGGTATTACGACTGAACGCCTGACGTGAAACTGTCGCAGAAAGAATTCGTTCTGGAACCATTAACTAAGAATCAATAATTATGTAATCCAGTGGAAATAAACATATTTGATACACTAACCAGATAAACCTATTTCCGCTTGCCTTTACGCCTTGAGAGTTTATACACCAAGAATTGTGTTCACCACACGCGCAGGTCCTTTGAGGACACACTCATCTCTGACCCTTCAATATTAATTAATGGGACATACCAGATTGGCAGACTTGTTGCATTGGGCTGCACTCATTCCACTTCTCCGGAGCACACCTCTGTGCATATACTTTAATCGTATGTGTTGATGCATTGTTATATGGCATGACATTTCCTATACGTAAGACACAATAGACCCTTTGCAGAACCCCATCAAGCAACACAACTGTCACCATTTTATTTCGGCGTAAAGCATACGGATGGGCCCCAGTTCATGTCGAATGCTAATGCAGCATTCGAGTCCAATAGGCGCTGAGCCGAGGTCAGAGTGATGGCGTACATAACATTCTTGTTGAACAAATGACCGAAGTATGAAAGCCTGGGGTAATTAGAGTAGTAGCTACTGTAATTCGTTTCATCACAACTTGGCAAACAGCAAAGGCTACAGTCTCGGTGAGCCAATATGCTCGTTGGAGAGAGGCACATGACAACATGTCATTCAGGGTGCTTGTCTGCACAGATTTGTCACACACCTTCGCTCTGTTTATCTGATTGGCTCGAGGAGGCTGTGGCGGTTGCCCTTTTCCAGGTTACAATGATACGAAGTATAGGCAACCCACACTCTTCAAAAAAGGCTATTGAAGAGACCGAAAGAAATGGTCAGCATTTTTCAACAAGACTGCTCTTCAGGCAAGGGATGAACACAAATATTCATCATCTTATCAGGTAATTAGAACAAGTAAATAATTGACCGACTAATACAACGCACTCTTGATTAAAAAGTATTGCTGCACTAAATCCTACGAAAGAGAAAAAGGTGCAGTTAGTCTATGCATACACCAAAACAATTGTTTTTATTGCAAGTTGAATAGCTTTGAAGCAGGTGCTGCAACGATTTATTCATCCCCACACTCAATAAAACGTCGTCCTCGTAGCTGAAAATAAGTGTGCACTTCGCATTCACCAAAAAAGGAAGAAAAGCGATCGAATGTAGAATCTTCGATTAGCACAAGGGGTTAAAGATCGCATGAGCTTTAACCCCTTGAATTGCTATGGTTATTCGGTGACGCAGGCCTGAAACAACTTCTCCTAGGCCCTAACGCGACGCATACCTTTCGCGTCGATTCCCACACATTACAACGTTCAAACAAAACTAAGAGAATGCAAAAATTTTATGCTAAAACCACTCAAAGTTCTATCGATCCTCGAACAGATCCCGAATCCGAGCACCGGTAACGGCGATACGGCTGATGCTGTCTCACAGGTGTTAATATCCAGATGATCTCGAGCAGAGCGATCTCGAGCAAAAAGGGTATAAAGTCTCCTTCCTTCATGTTTTTCACATTATACCTGCGTCAGCGAGCACGAAAAAGCCCGAAATCGTCAGAAAGCCGCTGCACCTGCCGCGCACCGAACAAACTCGCATCCGTCAGCTCTGGGCGCTGCCATCTTACCTGCGACGTCACGGCTCTTGTGAGGTCACGTGACGAGTGGTCACATTTGCGTAAAGCATGGCGGCAACCGGGGGGGTGCCACTTCCGAACTTCCGGCTTATCACTCTAAGCCCCTCTACCTCGTTGCCTAAGGCCAACATTGTAAAATATTGCGTATGAATTATTTAGCAAGGACGATAGTTGAAGACAAAATTCCTTCATCGCCTAGGATGGACCATCAAAATATATCTCGAGCGCCTTATTTCATTCAAGAAATCTATAAAAACAGTATCGCCTTTTCTGCATTCTATTTGTTGTTACAGGGGGATTTTCCAGTCGGAAATGTTCACAAGACGTAGGTGCCGTCGAAAAACAGACAGTGATCATTAAACTTGCGAGTTCATCTGTTTTTCGTGATTCAGCGCATTGTTAGTCGGGCTGTCGACCTGATTTTTCACTGTGCCTCTAAGCATTAGCCTCTTTATTATTCTATTTTTATGGAGACTAGTGTAAGCCGGTACGTCCAGTTCGGCCGTTGAGATCGGTAATCTTCCTCCTGCACCATTTTAGTCGTTTCGCTGCCGCAGTTGGCCGAACGACGATCATGATCAGACGAAGGTGTTCGTAAAAACGTCCATAATTTAGGCTCATAACTAAGCGGTAGCTCTCAAGATGGCCCATACCACAAGGGATGCATTTATATGAGAAAACAAAGCAAAACGACGTAACCCACCAAGAATAGCCGCGAGCCCGCTGAAACCGAAACCAACCCAATTAATACCACCTTATGGCGCCGTGTGTTTTAGCGTCCTCTGTCCGCCTGTTCGGTAACTACTGAGATTCAAATGTATCTACTTTGGATGTGTCTACGAAATAAAAGTTTTTAACTATAATTAGTGACTGTTAGTAAATCGGCCCGGTAGCTATAAAGTTACGCGCGTTTTATGTTGTCCGCTGCAGCCGACATTACCTCGACGAAACTAGTTCTGTCTAAAAAAAGCCAGGCAAAGAAAGAATGATATATTATCAGATAAAATATTTCGCCTGATTTCCAGCACATTTTTTTTTTTACCTGGCACTAATACATGTGATTTTATTCTTCACAGCAAAGCCGTACTTCGTTCGTGTTCCGGAAGATGTGACGACGATTGCCGACGATTCCGTGGAGTTCCAGTGCAAGGTCAACGGGGATCCAAAACCCACCGTGACCTGGAGGAGGCAGGACGGAAAGATGCCCGTCGGCAGGTGATTGCGTTTTTAGTTGTTGAAGAAGTTCCCATCAAAACATTCCAAAGTAAATGCAGGTAGATGGACTAATTAAAACGGTATAATAGTGTAGCGAGATATGCACTTATCATGGAAGGCAAAACGTCTTTTCTTTTTTGCAGATTTGGAAATCTGCCGGATTGTTTCTATTCTCATTTGAACAGCTGGCATCGCGAGTTCGGTCGGCGTTTGTCTTAATCTTGAACCAAATAGTTGCGATTTGTGGCTGGTGGAGGCGCCACTAGTTTCTCTCGCTCAAAGTGTCTTCATAAACACGCACCTTTCTAGGCCGTTTTACCGCCCAACTGTCTTTTATGTGTCCCAAACTCCACGCATTCGTGCACCGCTCAACTCAAACGCGATGTGTGGGCTAATGCTTCGATGTCATATACCCCCTAAAGTATCTTTATAGCTTTGCTGCTTAGCGTGCTAGCGGCACTTGGTGCGACAAAATATGTCTCCATCCTGAGCCAGCAAGATACCGAGGCACCCTAATCTGAGAAGTTCTACGATCAACTAAGGATGTACAAAATTGTGTCTTAAGAGGAACGCGGCGCTATCTCCCGCAAGCTGGTTGCACCGCACTTAGAGTGATAGCGGGGGAAAGCATCTTAAAAGCTGCGCGGTCCACACTTCAGAGAGGAAGCAAGAAGGCTATCGAAGGCTACAAAAACACGCCATGCGTAGGCTGAGAAGCGCGTAATATTTAGCTAGAGTTTTGCGTCTAAGGTGTGTTTCTACTGATTTATAAGACTTGATACGCTACTGTGCATACTAGTAACCCTTATTGTTTTTTGCGCATTGTCTAATAAAATTACGTAAAAAATTCTAAAAAAAAATCAATTTACTTTTTTAATGAAACGTTTTTATTCATAACCGTAGGCACAAAACAAAATTGTTTGAAAAAGTTGTTTTCATTCCCACGTTTAAACACGTCAAGGGATAACTTACTTAAAAATATGCTAACGAGGCTAAATTCATTGTTTAAAATTTCCGTGAGAAGCTGTGTTGTTTACGTATTGATTTAAAAAAAATCAATGAATGAAGTGATTCATTTATTTTTCTTAAATCAACTTGCTTTCTGAAGCTGGGAAAGATATCACTTGACAAATTCACAACGCACCAAAATCAGCGCACACTTTGATAAAAAGGGCTCCCAGGTTATTTGTTTCACTATATCACATGTACCAAACTACACGCCACATTGGTAAGGCGATTCTGCTTTAAAATTATTAAAAAGTACAAGAAAACAGAGGTGGAGCAAAAGTAACATGGACGTATGCCATTGGTTCCTTTTTTCATCATTCTCTCTTTCTTCTTTTCCTTATTTTTTGTTCACCACTGTTTTTTCTCCTTTACTTTCCCGCAGACTTTTGTGTTTTTCACTTTTTAATTCCCCCTTCATCCACAAATTGAGGTAAAAAAGATTAGGCATGCAATATAAAAGTGTCATAAGTCATATAAATTTAGTGAACTATAAAAGTAAGAAGAAAGTTGCTTCTTGGGTGCATTAATTAGAATCACTCTCTGCGCTTTAATATTAGATATAGTATACTGCACTCAATTACAGTTTAAAAATTACACATGCAGCTCTTTTATATTGCAAGATTTAAAACCTTGTAATAAAAAGTACACTACATCCTAGAAGCTTTCCGGGTCAGGCAAGATTACAGTGCTTTTAACGTTGCAAGGCAGGCTGATTACTACTCTGATGACTCTAACTTTAATACAAACAACTGCAATTTATTTTGCATCTTGCATGTATAATTTTTATGCCATTCTTCGCTTAAACAAGGACTAAAGTTTTCAGGTTTTGTATTTCAGAGCCTTCATCCAGGAAGACAAGAGCTTGCGCATACAGAATGTCTCCCCCATGGATGAGGGAACCTACATCTGCGAATCTGAGAACTTCGTTGGCTCCGTTTCAGCCTCTGCTAGTCTCACCGTGCATTGTAAGTGCCGGCGTGCATGTTATACTTAATAATGTTTTTATTTCATTGGACTATCTTATTTATTATTTCCTGTTTCATATACATTGTGTTTTCGTTGATCTTAGAAATAGAAAAAAATTTCAAACACAGCTGAATATTTTCTACAGCTTTCTGCAAGTATTTTAACTAAATATACTGGCTGCAGTAACAGTCGAAACTTAACACAATAAAATTAATCACTGAATTTAGAAACAAAAGTGGACCAGTCATCAAAAGTTGTGTAAAAATCTTGCATTCCCAACGGATTTGAACGGAAGTTCAAACTTATCCCCTGGCAAAGTTCTCAGGTAGAAAAATAAAAATAATGTCGTGCAAAATGACCTGCGTTTTTCAGTGTTTTTCAATCTAGAGCATTGAGGGCAAAATCATATTTCACCAGATTACCCATTTTTCAGCTCGACCCTCGTTCCGGCTGACACCTGAAGACCAGAAGGTGGGACTGAATGGCGTCGCAAAATTCGACTGTTTTGCCACGGGCAATCCTCAGCCATCTGTCTTCTGGACCAGAGAGGGTGACCAGGTACCTTTGCTACAGCATCTTTAATTATTGCTTTTGCATACCCTGAGCCATCTCTTTTCTTTTGCTCTTAAACTTGTCTGTATATTTTACCTTTATCTTAATTTCCATCAATTTATTTTAGGCCTTTTAACTGAGGTTGACTGTACTAGCAATAAAATATGCGACAAATTATCAATCCATTAAAGCATACCATTAGAGTGGGCAGTTTTGTTCTTGGTAGATAGAGGTAAGGTATGTGGTTGAGCAGTCAAGATAAAGTCCAGGAAATTTGTTTTTATGATTGCCTCACTTCCGTTTTTTCTATCTCTACTGCACTAAACTGGCTTGCAAAATTTATGCAGGATAGAAGTAAAAAGGGCATCATAAGTTACAAAATTGTGCAAAAAGCGATTAAAAAATAGATATGCTAGGAAATAAACCCTTATTCGAAACTGGCAGTCTTAATCAACATAGAATACATGTATGTTATGCTATCAAAACAAAATATAAATTTCAACTGCAAGTCATAATGATAACTTGGAACTTTGCATAAAATGTATGTAGTATATGTAGTGTCGTAGTAAATGCAGTACAAGCCAACGTAAATATTACAACCCCAAAAGAAGGTTATCAGTATATTGAAATGAATAAAAAAAGGTTTAGAAGCTATTCACGGACTGCTTTTGGGCAGTTGAGAAACACAAAAACAAGAATATTTGCTTCCGGTGCTTCTGTCATTTTTGGAGCAGTACAACTCTTTAAAATAATGTTTTTAAAGATTTTAGCACATGTCAAATGAAAGCTACAAACTCAAGAGATTCAAACCATCCAGCTTTTGAAAAATGAGTGCCATTAATATGAGCCTACTGGGTTTTCTTTCTCGCAAAACACCCAAACTGACTTGTGGTTTCTTGCTTCTCCAATGACAGGTGCTGATGTTCCCTGGAAAATCACACGGCCGGTTTTTGGTCACAAACCAAGGTACTCTGGTAATCTCTAGTGTACGCAAGGAAGACCGTGGCTACTACACTTGCTCTGCACTCTCCATCGTGGGGTCTTCCATGGCTAAGGGCTACCTGGAGGTCACTGCAATTGCCGACCTCCCACCGCCCGTCATTCGCCTGGGTCCGGCTAACCAAACGCTGCCCATCAACACTGCAGCCATCATGCCATGTGAAGCGACGGGCAAACCAACCCCGACGGTGTACTGGCTGTACAATGCGGTCCCCTTGCAGGCAGATACTAGGCCCAGATTTGTGATCCTTCAGTCGGGAACATTGAGGATAAACGGTAAGTTGTGTATGATTACTGGCTAGGGTTCAAAATTGAAAAATAACCATAAATCGGTCAACAAAATTATATACATAAGTAATAAACTCCTTACCAGTGATTCTCATGGATACACAATAAACGTATCTTATTTAATATTTGTGAATTCCTTCGTTTAGATCGTAAAAAGTCATATGACATGCAACAGGTGCAGTTGACAAAGAACCCTTATGAGGGTGTAGTATATTCTCCTGCCCCAAAATACCGAACTCTCATTCTCAATAAACTTTATGGCAAATTGCTATGCAATTATGTTGCATACATGAAACGTTCTAGCATCACAAACTTATGGCGATACTCTGAGTGTCCAGACGCCAGCCGTCTACGTTCACTGCGCTCTTCATCAGATAGTGTAACGCATGTTAATTGATGGGTCTTAGGATGAAGCGATACTACCAATAATCGGCCCGATAACCCTGGCGATCTTCCAGAGCCTTTCATACTCTCGAGCTCATCTCCCTTAGTGCGCACTGGTGGTCGCGCTCCTTGCATACACCTCTGGTCACATGATCTCGCTGTCAATCAATCAGCGTCAAGCACGTCACTCCTCCTCTCCCACCAGTCAACCAACCAGTGTCAAGCTTCGCGGACACGGTTTTATCTGGGATTCACAAAATGCCGCAACCTAGCCAAAGAACGTTACAGGTTAGAGCAAAATCAAACTTTTACAAACTGACTGACCTTCCTAAAAGGTTCCCTCTGGTAAGGCTGTGTATCTACTGCAGGAAAACAGTTGTAGTTAGTTTGGTAACTTCACTGCGCTAGATCTCCTTGGATTGCAAGGTGGAAATTTATATATCATATTACAAAAACATTTGTGGTTTCAAGTTAAACAATTCATTACATTGTGAAATCACTGAAGAACATAAGGTGTGGTGGCATATTCATTCGTTGTTTAGCAGCTTCGTTCAAATGTATGTGCACGCTGCAATAAAATGCAGAATATTTTTACTAAGGACGCATTTATTCTTTTGTCTGGAAAACACTCTTATATTTTAGTGCACACACGTATTGTAGCTAGCCTTGATCGAACAAAATCTAGACGTATTACACATTGTTTTAATGCAAATTACGGCCCTTCCTGATCAGGCGTAAAACGCTATAGTACAACTCGCACATTCCAGAAGCGGCTGATTGTTTGAGAACTACTGCTCTGGTGCTTAAACATGGCATTAGCAGTAGGCATATGCATATACTATGCGGTTTGCTTGTCTGAGGTAAAAGTATAAACCAATCATCCTAATATATCGCTTTTTAAAAGACAATATTATTAGCAGTACTGACGAAATAGTTGTACAAAACTACAAATGTGTCATGCATGTATCGGCCCAAACTAGCGTAAAACAGCAGAGAGTTCTACAGGCACTTTACCCTAACTAATATGGCTGGAGCGCGTCTCCGACTGGTGTGTTTTGTGTCCTATGCTTCCCATATATCAAAAGTGGTCCCGAAGGGCCAACAAATGACGTCAGAGAAGCCGAAGTGTCATGCTGTTTCATGTCGTGATGATGGCGGTTGGTCGTAGAAATGCTGGCGAAAAGCCCGAGCGAACGCGAGTGTCGCTTTCGTCACGGCGTCCCAACTTCCGGCTGTGGAAGCTTCGTTGGATTGTCAGATGGAGAGCAGCCTGCAGCAGAACAGGCGTTTGCCACATACACCACGGCTGCTGGGACACCTTCAGGATTGCGACCGGCGACAGCATCGCACATTTATGACGTCATCACGCGGAAATTGAGGGTCCACTTTCTTCACGCGGTAAACACACCATTTGGAGGTGCGTTCTAGGGACCGTATCCTAACACTGTTGTTCTTTTTGGTCAGACAAGGAAGGCTTATTTGTGGCCGCTATAAATAAGAGTCCTAATATAAAGCACACCCTCGCTTGAATATGAGTAATTGTATATATATATATAACGGGCATGGTGGCGGGGGTTGAAGGCGTGGGTATAGAAGAAGAAAAGAACCTTTAGTGAAAACAGTAACAACGGACGATTTAATCTTCGACGTTTCGGCCGGAGTCCGGCCTTCGTCAGGAAGAACTTTTACAAAAAAATTGGTTTGCTCTTTACGTTTATTCAGCGTTGATGGAGATGCGCCTCAACGGGTAATCAGTCTCTTAGCTGTGGATGAGAAATTTAGCCAGTGCGGTACAACCGCTAACCTGGGGTTTTTAACGTGCATCACGCAGTAGTGATCACACGAACGCGTGCCGGCACGAAACTCATCCAGATCGAAACGGGCGGGGGCGGCGGGGATCGAACCCAGGAGGTTCCCAGCGCAAGCTTTGGCTCCACAATCCGAGCTGAGACGCGGCGGGTAGTATTTATACAATGCTACGTTCGAGTCCAATGGACCTTTTTCCAGTAAGCGTCTGCGCACGCCCACACCCTTTCCACTTGACCTTGACCGCCCTTTCGCCATTTTTGGGGGGCACTGTTTTCTTGCAACACTAATCTGTTCCTATGGGAGAAGGCGAGTCCGGTTGCCCTCCATTTGTAGTAGGCGGCGAAACCGTCATGGGGCACTCCTTACTGGAAAAAGGTCCAATGGACCTTTTTCCAGTAAGGAGTGCCCCATGACGTAAGGTGACGGTTGTAGCTTTTGTAAGAGAGAAGCGTAGGGCAGTTCTTATCCGGATGAAGAAGCTTGACGGTCGGGGCCAAGTTTCAAGAACGGCGGGGTGACTGTTGTAGCTTCTTGAGAGGGGGCGCAGGGCCATTTTGTGTCCGGGCGGGCAGGGGTGACCTGGGTGATGGCGTACAATAGATGAAAGTTACACGTGCAAACTAAAGTGCTGTCTCTCAAAAAAAAACAAAAAAAAAAACAAACGGCACGGTCATTTGTGTTGTTTTCTGGGGCATGCATGAGTCAGACCTGGAAGGGAACAATGTTAAACCTAGAAATAAAAAGAAAATACAATGAATATCAAAACCTGGAAAGGAAAGAGAAAAGTTGATGGTCCAGTTTCGGCCACAAACACAGTACCACTGTTAACAATGAAGTCTAGAACCCGAAGAAAAATGCTAACAGAACTACATTCAATGCTAACAACAATCAAAAAACACTTTTTTTTTCTTCAGGTTATAGACTTCGTTGTTAACAGTTGTACTGTGTTTGTGGCCGGAACTGGACCATCAACTCTTCTCTTTCATTTCCAGGTTTTGATATTTATTGTATTTCCTTTTTATTTCTAGGTTTAACATTGTTCCCTTCCAGGTCTGACTCATGCATGCCCCAGAAAACAACAAAAATAACCGTGCCGTTTTTTTTTTTTTTGTTTTTTTTTTCTTTTAGAGACAGCACTTTAGTTTGCACGTGTAACTTTCATCTATTGTACGCCATCGCCCAGGTCACCCCTGCCCGCCCGGACACAAAATGACCCTGCGCCACCTCTCAAGAAGCTACAACCGTCACCCCGCCGTCCTTGAAACTTGGCCCCGGCCGTCAAGCTTCTTCACCCGGATAAGAACTGCCCTACGCTTCTCTCCCACGAAAGCTCCAACCGTTACCTCGGCGAAAATTGGACTCGACGGTAGAATTGCATAAATACCACCCGCGTTCATCTGTAAAAGTTCTTCCTGACTCCGGCCGGACTCCGGCCGAAACGTCGATGATTAAATCGTCCGTTGTTGCTGTTTTCACCAAGGGTTCTTTTCTTCTTCTATATAAATATATATATATATATATATATATATTCTTTTTTTTAAATTCAACTTCCAGGATTGCAAATTTCGGACAGTGGAACGTACACCTGCACAGCATCTAGCGAGAGTGGGGAGACCTCTTGGACCGCCTCTCTGACCGTCGAATCTCCACACAACCCCAACGTAAACTTTCATCGGACTCCGGATCCCTCCACTTTCCCTGGGCCACCTTCGAAACCCGTTGTTGTCAACATAAGCGAAACGTCAATCACTCTCACCTGGAGGCGGAGCGAAAAAGTGGGAGAGTCCTCATTGAGGGGATACACGAGTAAGATCACTGAACCGTGAACTACCAAGCTCATTTTTTTAGAACTTTCATCACATTTTTAATAATATTTTGCACTTGCACTTGGAAAGTTAAGATTTTAAGGAGAGGTACATGTAATGACACTTTCTGTTACGTTAAATATAAAGGATGTGTTCCTTCTTCATAGGCTTACATTATTATCATCGTGATAGCTAATTTCAAATATGGAATAAAACCAAGTATGCATCATAGGAAGAACGAAAACTTAACAGTGTGTTTTCTTCCATTTTTTCTACATTTCAGTTGAATACTACAGTAGCGACCTGCAAAGCGGCTGGGTTTCAGGAGCACATCGTGTACTCTCTGAAACATACACAATTCAAGCACTTCGGCCTGATTCGCGCTATGTCTTCATCGTTCGAGCCGAAAATGCTCATGGTTTGGGGCCCCCGAGTCCTGCTTCAGATACCATACGCACTTTAGGTAGGTATTACTGATGCATTTAATGCTCTTCTAAGCGAAATGGTATAATTCGTGCTAACTACAGAAAGACATAGCTCGTATGAAGTGTTCCATGAAATTACAGGGGGAACTGTAGGGCACCCTAAAGCTGGGAAGTTCTAGGTCTCGACATTGGTTTTCTAATGCTAAGTACAGTGCTCAACGAAACGAAATGGGCCAGCGGAACGCGTGGCCTCCAGAACTTGCTGCGCCATCTACCGATAAAAGACGGGCTGCCTGGTGACGCGAGTCGCACATGCGCAAAACTGATACGAGCGCTCAGCGGCTGTTCGCACACAGGCGCGCAACCCCCGATAATCTGCGCAGGCCATGATTTTGCGGAGTGACCACGTTTATTTTTCCTCAGAGACACTGTCGTGATGATGTGCATGAGTTTATCTTGCTTCAAATATATAAAAAAGAAAAGATAAAGCTTCATTTTTTTATTCCATAAAAGATTGATGAGCCAGCGCGTCCGGCCTTTTGCAGCTATAATATATTAATGCAGATAGTTTTATTTTTTCGTGGTTTTATTCAATTTTAGCGAGCGTCTGACAGTCATTAAAAAGCGTGTGCTGTGTCAACATAGTTTATTTGACATGTTACACAATGCTGCGCCTACCAGAAAAAAAATAATATAAGTAACGTGCTTGTTTTATTATCAGCACCTTACTCTAATATTTGCAGAACTCTCCATTGGCTTCACAAATAGCATTCATGCGACGCGGAAGGGATTCATAAAGATTCACCACCAACTCTGGACATTGCCGCAGCCTGTCCCATTCTTCCTTCACAGCATCCCATAGCTGGTCAGCCGTGACGGAGTGAAGTCCTCGCCGCGATAGCTGGATCTTCATGTTTCCCCAGATGTTCTGGATGGGGATCATGTCAGCCCCTTTTGGGGGCCATGGCATAACCGCCACTCCGCGTTCCTCTAGAAGGTCACGCACACGATTTGACTGATGAACAGGACAAAGGTCATGTTGAAAAAAAAAGCATCCGTCAGGGAAAGGTCCCTCAAGAACGTAAGGAATGAGCTCGTGCTCAATGACGTCGCAATACGTTTCGGAGTTAAGCCTCTGGATTCTTACAAGTGGACCAAGTCCTTCCGCTGACAATGCCCCAGGGTTGGGCAGCAATACTCAAAAATGTATTTGGAAATACAAATACTGGGATACATTAAAATAGTAGCTAAAATACTGATACTGAAATATATCTGTAAAAGTGTATCGCGATACGTATCGGAAATACATTTTAAGTAGAAGCAAAAAGTATTTGGAAATACAAATACAGGAATACATTTTAAGGAGGGCAGAAATACAAATACAGAAATACTGATACTGCAATACCTTTTTTTTAAATTTGTTTGAGACGCCAAATGAGATGAAGCTTAAAGTTGGAAGTGGAAGTTTTCGATTCTGAATTTACTTTCCCGTAGGCTTGGCACTTTGCCTTGAAGGTAGTGATTTCGGACGACGAGGAGTCTTCAATGTGCTCGAAAAAACGTTCCATCAAGGACTGACCGCGGTCCCTTCCCTGACATCCTGTTTGTCTGACGAGGGATGCGAAAAGACTTCGACCTCTAAATACATTCTATGTCATTCTAAATCACATGAAAGCGTCACCACGCCCCTGTCCAATTGACCTTTTTCAGAGAATTTTGTGCGCATGCCCGAACTTGAGGAGAGAGTAGGAAAGGGAAAGGCGCCATCTTTGCGGGCTCTCCTCGTACGCTGCCTCGCTTCGCTCGCATTGCTAGGCGTGTCTGTCCGGCACTGTCGCAATGCCTCACCGCTGCTCGGCTGTTGGATGTACAAACAGCAAGAAAAACACTCCGAACGTGAGCTTCTTTAGATTCCCGAAAGCTACCGCGCACCTCAAAAAGAGAGAAAAATGGATTCAAGCGCTGCGACGCCAGAACTCCGACGGGACGCCTTGGCAGCCATCTGCGAACTCGCGTGTTTGCAGCGTCCACTTCACTGGAGGTTAGTTCATTCATATTTGTTTGAACTCAGGATATACCCGTCCTACTCCGTGCAGGCTATTCATTCATAGCAAGGTTTTTGTTCCTGATTTTTACGACGCAGGGGTATCTTCACGAGACCAGAATCACCCAGACTTCGCTCCCTCCTTGTTTACATAGAAGCCGACACCTGCCTCCGCACCGAGTTTGCTTGCACGGTACAGCAGGGCAGCGAAGAGGCGGGACGCCAAGCCGTTGTCATGGAAAACAGATCTTTATACTGTCGCATAGTGTAAAGAGCAGGCCAGCTATGTGCTGGCATGTTCCGCTCAGCCTGCAAAGTATATATTTACGTTTGAACTCATTAAAATATTTAATAAAAAAATGTCCTACTACAGAATTTTATATCAACACGTCACTTAGTTCGATGAGTAGATCAATGACATAGCTTGGCCCTTTTTAGTAGCATGCTGAAGTACCACAAAAAAGACGAAGACGACAAATCTTGTTTTTTTTGTTTTGTTTTATTAGATAACTTATCGCGTCATGCATAAAATATGATCAAAGGACTGGCACACACGGATCTTGATACAAATCTTGTAATCCTTAAGACACATTATTACATCGCCACGGGTTTTACCGAAGAAATAAACTCACACTGCAACGCAGTCGCAAGACGCTTGAACGATATCGGCGCTCTTGGAAAGCGATATCAGTTGCCTGTAATGTCCCGGCTTCATAGGCGGTGCACACGTGCTCCTTACAAGGTGAACGATGTGGTCGGGATCAAAATTGTTCACCATGACCTTCTTGACGTAGGCTTCTTTGAAGGCCCATCCTTTCCGGAGTTGTCTGCAGTCCTTCGAAAGTACCGACCGACGTACGCTGTGTTGACGACCGGTACTGATGCAGCTTCGGCACTCCATTCGTCTTGAAAAGCGTACAGACGGATGAAGTCCGAAGTGTCGAAGACGGTTGCTTTACTCGATCCTCCGGGATCGTCATCAGCCATTTGTAGAGAACGACAGCCGGAAAACAGCGAGAAAAACTTTCCACAACGAACGCACCGAAACGATCGCGTCTAGGAAGCGAACAGGGTGACGGGAGGACGGACTGAGCCCGCAAACGTTTTGAATTATCTCCACGAGGGTGCGCCACGGTCGCTTTAACGAACTCTGAAAAAGGTCAATTGTGCAACTGTCAACATTTATCACATGACGTCACGGTGGAATGAACTGGTATTTTTTATCTGTACGTGTGGCCTTGAACATGAAACTTTACCATGCTGCTGTATGAAAAGACAATACGTACTTTCTTTGTAGGTTACCTCGTTGAAGATTGTGCAGGCAATGTCATTTGGAATTTTCGAGAATAGTAGACCACCTGAAGCATCTTGAAACACATGTCTTATCTTCTGTTACGGTTGAAAAACGATACGGTGGCATCCCTGTTGTGAAGGTCCTACCTGCCGACCTCCCGCCAGCAATGCATGGATTGCAGTCCTCAAGTTTCGTCTTGCATACTCCGAATAAAGACCTCGCGGATTGCGACCTGATATTGCCGGCACAGGTGCGAGCTTTCCGAGAAACAGCGCGCTCGAGACGAGTCGCAGGTGTACGAAGTCTGGGTCTGCACAGAGAGTTCACGTCTGACCTCCTTCCTGGGTTCGGATCACCAAAACAGAAGGTCACTTTCACGTCGGCAGATGACGTACCCTTGAGCCGTGCAATATTATGGGCGCAGCCGCAGACGCATTCGAATACGTGTTGCACTTTATTGCGTAAGTCATCCTACTATTTCAAGCCAACCACCGCCAGGCTCGTGCTGCAACGGACTGTGACTCAGCTTTGCCGGCTGGGTGTACTATCACTACTGTATACGCTAAGGCAAGAGAGACGGTTAGCAGTGGGCTTTGGATGCCAGGAAACAATGACTCAAGAAACCCCTACCTAAAAACCTGCGGCACAAGATGCTCTGACTCCACTCCTGGCACGCCACCTGGTTCGAGTCCCCGACTACGCAACACTTCTCAGAAGAGAGAAGAGGACGCATAGAAAAATAGTTTGGAGAATCGGAAGGAACCTTCGTCCGCATAGTAACAATGCCCCAGCATCTCCCTGACCCTGGTGCCCTCAGAAAAAAAAAAAAAAAAAAATGCGTTCGAATTCGTTTTTTTTTTTCTTTTGGCAGGGGGAGGGGGGGGGGGGGGAGTATTTCTCAAGAAATGTAACGAAATACATTTCAGCCTGATTGTATCGCGATACAAAGGAACATTCAAAATGTACTTCGATACAGGAATACAGATACTGGTGAAAAAAATGTATCGCGATACAGAAATACAGATACAAAATGTATTTCTGAAATACTATCGCGATACATTTGTATCGCGATACTGCCCAACCCTGCAATGCCCCGCCAGACGTTAACGGTTTGTCGCCCACTCCTGCCCACACGCTGCAAGTAAGGGGCATCATACCTGAAACATCAAAATCACAAATTATAAGATCCGGCTTGTTAAAAATTGTCGTGTTGCTCAAAAGTAACATACCGTGCACCTCGCGGTCTCCAAACTTGTTTTCCTTGGTGCCAGTCAGTTGAGAAAGAGGACTCGTCGCTGAAAACAACGGTTTTCCAGTCTTGAATCGTCCATGATGTCTTTTCCATGGCAAACCGCAGGCGGATATCTTTTTGTCGAGGAGTTAAAATTGGCTTCTTGCACGCAGCATAGCTCCTAATACCCGCTTCTGCAAGACGGCGTCGCACAAGTTGGTCACTGACATTCAGACCAAGTTCGCCTCGAATGTCACGGGCCGTAATAAAAGGCTGGTCGACTGCAGCCGCGACGATCCATCGATCTTCCTCATCGGTAGTGGACCTTGGGCGGACGTCGTGAGGAGCGTCATGGATGCGGCCGTTGTCGTCTCGAAACGCCGTGAAAATTCGGGCCACTGCGGTTCGGGTTCTTCCTGTCATCCGGGCGACTTCTCGTTGGGGCATTCCCGCGCGGCATAGGGCCACAATTCGCCAGCGTTCGTGAATTGGCACTCGCGACGGCATCTTCACGAATGGATACTGATGGCAGTGAACCGACAATTTATAGAAAAATAAATGTGAAGTGAAATGGCACTGTGCTTTTTATTAAAAGAAAAAAATATTGCCCTTTTGTTCCTTTTCTTTCATATTTGAGACAAGATAAAAGTATGCACAGGGCGTCAAACAGATCGCGATAAAACCACGCGGCGATTAAATAATAAAAAAAGGCTATCACTCTGCAGAGATTACCCATCGGGGGTTGTGCACAGCGTGGGAACAGCCGATGAGCGCTCGTATCAGCTTCGCACACCTCCGACTCGCGTCACCAGGCAGCCCGTCTTTTATCGGTAGATGGCGCAGCAAGTTCTGGAGGCCACGCGTTCCGCTGGCCCATTTCGTTTCGTTGAGCACTGTACTCTGATGCAACCTTAAATTACACACGTATTCAGTATCCGAGAAATTGCTACATATCAATTCTGTAAAAATTCGAAGAGTCATGCTCAGATTCGCCCCTCTAACTTGACTATAAGGTTTGACCGTTTTTATCTTAGAATAGAGTGGAACGGACTTAATTAGTCTTGTCATCACGCACTCTTCGCAAATCTTGCCAAATAAGTTTTTCAATGCAGGATGAGTGTGTTGTCGATTAATTTTATTATATTTTATTATCCTTAGCTTTTCGAGATTCGAAAAGTAATTGGAACGTCTTCTGCTTCAGGGTTAGCTCCTCATTTTCTTCCCGAGTATAATCTGGACGAAGCCCGGGCCAAGTTGACCTCTTGCGTGGTGACTCTACAGGAGATACGTGCTACAAGCTCCACCGCTGTGAAACTCACGTGGAGGGTATGAGAAACTTGTGACAGTTTCATATTATGACTACTCCTAGAACATAACTAAGAGCAAAATGTTTCATTAAGACAAGACAAAACAACCTAAATGCTGCTTATCAAGAATAAATTAAACTTGCTAAGATATTTCAATATTATCTTGGAGATATTTCGACTATGTACTCGTCACAGTACAAAACAAGCAGTACTTATTTGCCATATATTAGCACACATTTGTGCTTCTCAGTTGCAACTGTCTATTTGAATGGGCAAGCGACAGATATTCAAACGCTTAGCAAAGTGCATAATCCATGCATGAGATTCAAGAGTGAAGATGGAAGCTGAATGAGGATTTGGGAACATTGTAACTTTACAGTATCCTCTGCTGCGATGTTTCTGAGAATGACAAAAATTTTCAGAAAGGAACATAGTGTGCATTATACACATATGTATTCCTTAAGTAACAGTGACATCATTATAGTGTAAGTGAAAAACCCTCGGTACTCTAATTTTTGTGTTTTTTTTATTTATAAACAGGTTCAAGGAGACAAGGATTATGTGGAGGGATTCTATATTCGATTTAGAGATGTGAGCGGGGGATCACAGAAGTTTAACATGGTAACTGTTCTTAATGGAGGAGCTTCGTCCTACGTCCTCAACGATCTCAGGGCATATGCAAAGTATGAGTTCTTCTTGGTACCATTCTACAAGAGTGTGGAAGGTCCACCCAGTAACTCAAGGAATGTCCAGACATTGGAAGATGGTGAGAATCAGGTTTGACATTGTATAATTTGTAACAGAAATTCTAGAGCCCACATTAAAACAATTTCAGTCATAAGATATGAAAGACCACCAATGTTACAAATATTCAAAAAACTACAGCACATAACTACTACCAATAAACTGCAGCATATAACTACTAATAACTACAGCATATACAGCTTTTAAGGCAATTCAAACGACCTCCGAAAATTGGTTTCTTAACATATCGTGCTGCATTTTACTGCAAAGGTGGAAGCAGGTAGTGGAAGTTTACAGTGGAACAATCAAGGAATGAACATACCTTGTTCAAAAGAAAAAATGAAAAACAAAAACATCTCCTAGAAAATCGACGCCGCCACTTTGCAGACAACGCAGGCGTAGAAAAAAGTGCTGCCGACAGATGGCGTACGCCGTGTCGAGGGAGCGCCGGCCGATTCGGGTTCTTTTGCGAGTATCCCATCTGTCGGCAGCAGGTCTCTCTATGCGTGCATCGTCTTAGAAATGGCGGCGTAGATTGCTCAGAACATTTTTTTTAACGAGGTAAGTTAATTCCTTGCTTCTTTTTTTTGTTTTGTTTTTTCACCATAAACTTTCACTACTTGCTTGAACCTTTGTAGCAAGTTGCAGCGCAATATGTAGAGAAATCGATTATTGTGGGCCGTCTCAAGTGCTTTAGAAGCGTTAGTTTACATGCTGCAGAGTGCAAAAACGATAACTGTAATTGAAAAAAAAACACGACCTTTTGGTGTTTTATTTTGTTTGTGCGGAAGCATTAACTGTCCCATGGAGCGAACAGGCGTTATCAGATGCTGCGCCAAACGGCGCCTAAGCTCCCCTGTCCCAATAGATCGAAGCCTGTCGCCTTTGGAAGCGATTTGGTAGATAGCCTCCCATTGGCTGGCGTGCGTCATAGTTTACATAGTTTCAAGGAACGAGACTCCCATTCGCTGCCGCGGCGCATAGTTCCAAGGAACGCCACCCCACAAGGAAGCCCTCTCCATGGCGGCGCAGCGGCCCGGCCGCTGGTAAGAGGGGGCGACTGGCCGCAGAGCCAGCGGAGCCCGTCCGGGCAGACTCCGGAGAGGTTGCACGGCCGAGTTCAGCGAGGCGCGGTCACTTCACTAGAGCGCGCGCTCGGTCGTCGGCTGTAACTTCGGAAGTAGCGAAACGTGGACGTCCACGCCAGTATAGCGCTGACGAACTAAGGAAGTGGAAAAACTGCATTCTTGCTTTCGCATTTACAACTCATGAGGGAATAGATGCCCTCGAAACTTGTTTACCTGAAACGCATTTAGCGATGCATTACATGAGGATGAAAACACGAAAATGGGAAAAGTCATGATATAAAGCTCGATTGGTTCCAAGGAAAGATTATATTGCGCTTCTTTTCTTGGATTTGAAAGTTCTATCGGCACAGGTGCTTAGTCTAGTTTGAAAGCAAAAATAAAATAGAGCTACAGCCATTAATACCTTGTATGAAACATATTCACCATAAAGATAATACAGAAAGTGGTGTCGTCAGATATTTGTCTCAAGTCTACATCAGCGGAGGAACTGGCAAAATTATTCAGCACCTCAGTGTACTTTCTTTGCAAACACAATATTGCGACCATCATCTATTGTCGGCTGCAGTGTGGGTTACAAACGTGCATGATTTAAAAACAGAGTGGGAATTATAAATGGTTCGTTGATATTTTTACGTCCAGGAATGCTTCAGATGCCCCGTGGTTCATTTGAACATTGTTTACATCAAATTTGTACCAGAGACACTAGATGAAAGGCTTACAATAGAAAGCTTAACAAGGTCCGGCGTCCCTGCACGTACTGAGCACAATAGAATAATAAAATAAAACAGGTAATGTCAACTTAGAGCCTATACAAGGTGTCCGGAGGTAAACAAAAACAAGCTTCTGTGGGGGAGTCTGTTGATTCCGTTTGGCTATTGTGTTTGCTTGTTCTTGAAAACCCGCAGTGAGTAAAGCGTACTTTAAAAGTCTCATTGCCAAGCACAAAATGCGGTACCTCCTGAAATATCTTTACACGTAATCGAAACGCCTTCCTGATCGTTTGAGTGAAAATAAAACGCACTTAATTGTTCCTCAAAGAAATTACAAACGTGCCGAGAATAGCGCGGGCCCATCTCTACGAGGTGGCGATCGAACCACCTGGTTCATATACCTGAGAGCGACTTAGGAGGGCATCGGCAATAGTCGGCTACCTCCCCAAGGCGCCGAATATACTTGCCGAGCTTCCTCGCAGGTGTCGCCGAGCTGGTCTTGGTTTTAGTAGAAGACCTTCCGAAAGTTTTTATTACGATTCTAAAAGCGCGAGGCATGCGAATCCCTGTATTGCCTAGTTTTCTAACGTTTCGATTTGATTGCTCTGGTATTCAAGGTTATTTTTCTTTCGGAGCACCGCCTCAGCTTGCATTTATACGTGCCGTAATGGCCCGGTTGGTGCCTATCATTGTACGCAGATGGCCGATCGAGGCATCGTTGGTGCCGCATCTTCGCGTTTGTCGCGTTTCGCCGTCTGTCGGCAGCACATCGAATTAGGCAAGCACCGTCTGCTTAGCAGCGATCACCAGAGATCGGTGGCGTCGGTGGCCTTCATTGTCTTAAGATAATCTAAACAACTTCCCTTGTGTCATTTTACTCGTGCCGGTGCGCATCGGAAACTTAAGGGCACACGACTGCTGCAGTAGCTTCCGCGCAATTGCTCGCTAGTGAAACAAGAGTCGCAACGCAATCACCCGAACACAAGTTTAACATGGGAGAACCGGAAGTATTTATATCCCTCTGTAACGGCGGCCGAAAGTGGGGCGAACACCCAGAATACTAAAAAAATAAGGTTTATTACTTATATACTAACCGAAAAAAAAACAGACTTCAACATGCACCTAAGCAACATCCGTGACATTAATAATGAATACGACGATGTCAGGTTGTTAGTAGGCACGACATGCTTCATAAATACTCATGTATAACGCACACCTGCAAAATTGCTTGCACAGCTATTCTTCAAATGTAGAATTCTCCAAATAGTAGCATGAAATATAGTTTTTACATTTATAACCATGAACCTTTCCAGTTCCAACGGCAGCACCTGAAGATGTTAGAGCTCATGTGATAAATTTTACCACTGCCAGAATCATCTGGTCTCCCCCTCCTCCTCAGCACTGCAATGGAAAGCTGAGAGGCTATAATGTGAGTCGGAACTCTTTACCTGCACTCTTTATTTTTCTACCTAGACCCAGCTCATAACCGTGTCCCTAAACATTCATAAATATAAAAATTAATGATCCTTAAACTACACATTATTTACCCATCATGTTAGAAGCAGTACATTAATAATAATAATGTGCCAATATAATTACAGATCTATGTAACAGGAAACCTGTCTGAGCCATTCTTGAACAAGAGTACGAACACTACGACAAACTCTCTGCTTCTGACCAACCTCAAAGCAGGGGCTTCTTATAAAGTTCGCATTGTTGCTCACACCTCGGTCGGCAGCGGGCCCCTGAGTTCTCCTGTTCTTTTCAGAATGGGTAAGTTGAGACTCCTTCTGAATTTCAGTGAAGGCAACCAGATTGAAAAGGACTTTAAGAAAGTGCCTTCATGTGGACATTCGTAGCTAAAGTGTTGGATTTGTGTTTTCTTTTTTTTTTTATCAACAGATGGCCCATCTTCAACGTCATTGTCCACCCCTTTTCACAATGTTGTAAAGCAGTTCTGGTTCATTGTTCTCATTGGCTGCATCATGTTTATAGCCGTCAGCGTGTTTTTACTGTTCGTGGTTTATAAAAGAAAGCTCGAATTGAAGAAGACATCTACAGCAGGTGAGGGAAAGGTTTCAAAACTCCTATCATATTTCTTATAATATCACGCATACACTGAAGACTGGTCTAAAATTAACTGTTTTTCAGGTCCTGTTCGCAAGTCAGAGGACCTAAGGTAAGGGGAAATTTAGTCAATTTCAGACATATTTTGATATGTTGAAACTGCATGAATATGCGAAAACCAGAGTGAATAAAACTGCTCAGCAACCGCGTCAATTCACTAACTGGCAGGACGGGCCGTAGTCCTCACGACGCCCTGTGGATTAACCATGGTGCCTGGAGGCCCTGCGATGCATCCAAGGACACCTTTTGCGAGACTAAGCTGCTTAGCAAGGTGGACTGCGCTTCGAATGACCTAATCTACTCCAGGTAAATGATCACTCATTTTTAAAGCTACTTTGCTTGCATAAAATGCTGACTGAGAAGAAACATTCACATTGGGCAAATAATAAAACCTAACTGAACTAACATGGTGGTCCCACTGCTTCGTCCGGAGATGGCATACATGTATGCCATCTCCTGACGAAGCCGAGCCTCTCGGCGAAACTGTCGTAATACATACAATAAACTCCTAGCATAACAACTCCGAAAGTACGGGTCTTTTACTTACAATAATTCCCCGGCCCATTGTTCTCAAACTAGTCCGCCTCTCATAATATATATATATATATATATATATATATATATATATATATATATTTTTTTTTTTTTTTTTAAGCTTAACAGATTTGTTGAAAAAAAGCCGAGAAAGGTACGCTTATGCCGCTTGTGAAGGTGAGTAATACGGCCAGGGGGACATATTATAGGGGGCTAATCGTAACGATCAGTCGTCGAATGAACTAAGATTTGTTAATTAATTTTTTTAAATAATGAAAATAGACATATGGTTCTAATTAGAAACTTGCTCAGCGTCATCGAAAACCACTAAATCAGTCATTTCCAGAAAGAGTTTCGGCACGTGAGAAGCGTAGTATTGCACTAAAGTTACCACCTGTGGAGCAGGTACAAAGCTGAGGCTAGATAAGAGACGGAAAAATCGCGCGGGCGCCTTATCGCAACCGCTAGCTTTGTACCTGCTCCACGAGTGGTAACTTTAGTGCGCTACTACGCTCCTCACGCGCTCAGAGTCTTTCTAAAAATTACTGATTTAGTGGTTTTCGATGACGCTGAGCAAGTTTCTAATTGGAACCATATGTCTATTTTGATTAATTAAAAAGTTAATTAACAATTTTAATTAATTAGCCCACAGATCGTTATGATTAACCCCCTATATGTCCCCCTGGCCGTATAACTCACCTCCACAAGCGGCATAAATGTAACTTTCACGGCTTATTTTAAACAAACCTGTTAAGCTTAAAAAACACCCTATATATATATATATATATATAGAAAGAGAGAAAGCGTAGCGCAGGATGACGAGAAGTATATACGGACGAAAGCGCACTTGAGGCGGTTGGAGTTTTTGAATCATACTATTCCTTAAGTTGGTAGGCGTTTCGGCTGATGTGGTAAGCAGAAAATAATGCTGTTGCTCGACATCCGTTAGGGCATTATACAAAGGGGGGGGGGGGGGGGGGGTCAATGACACACTAAGAGTTATGGTTTAAAATGAATTAACGCTCGCGGAAAAGAGGTCAGCAATACTGGTGAATCAGAGAACAACAAAATACAAGCAGTTATCGACATTACACTTCATTATTCTGTTTTTTAGAATGCTAAATGATAAATGTGAACAGTAATAAGGACGGAAAAAAGTTAACAGATGGACTTATTTGCAAGTTCAAGGTAATGGATCAATTCTTCGGAAAATTTATCGGAGTTAGTCTCGGTTACAACAATATCGGGTAAATATTCCAGTCCTTGATTGTCATAAGCAGATGCGGATTATAAAATTCCGCAGATGAACCAAAATCGAGCGAACTTTTCGGTAGTTATCGTGACCGAGAGATATGCTGTGGGGTGTAAGGAAGAGAGGTGCTCTAATAAAGACATCGTTATGGTACAATTTATGAAACAGGGTTAGACGAGATAGAATTCGCCTAAATAAGAGTGAATGAAGGTTAGATTTGCTCCTTAGACCTGTTACGCTAGTGCAGCAAGTGTAGTCTGTGACAATGAACCTTAAAGCTCGGCTTTGATCGAATTTCCTCTAATTTCATAATCAGGTAATGCTACAATTGGGACCCTACAGAAGGTGCATACTCTAGACGAGATCGAACAAATGTTATGTATGATAATTGTTTAATATCAGCTGATTCCATTTTGAGGTTGCGCCGAAGATATCCCATTTATGAATTAGACAGATAAAAGAAAATTATTGTGAGTTGCTGAAGGCTAAAATGAACGCAGAGGTATTTATAAGATGTGCAGGGGTCACTTGTTGTGTCATTGAGTTGAAAAGGTGTGAAAAGAGTGATGGGGACTGTGATCTCTTAAAACAGCATATTTTTTTTTCTATTTACCTTAACTGTCATATGCCATTTTCGAACAAATTCTTTTATAATTAGTAAGGCAGTATGGTAAGAGTAGGTGAACATTATTATTTCTCATTGGTCTGTATAGAGCACAATCGTCAGCAAAGAGACGAATTTAACATGTTAACAGAAAGATCGTTTACATATATTAAGAACAGCAAGGGGCAGGGAACAGTTCCCTGTGGTACACCCGACGTCACATGAGAAAGATGTGAACGTTACTCGTTTACAACAGTATATTGAGTACGATCAGAAAGATTTTTTTATCTTAGTGAATACTGAATTATGAATACGCAGTTGGCTTAGTTTTTCTAGAAGCCGTTGTTGGGTCACTTTATCGAAAGCTTTAGAAAAGTTATAAAAAATCACATCGGTCTGTAAGTTTTTATTAAGGTTACTATGAAGCTCATGAACGTAATGTATTAGCTGGGTATCACACAAATATGTCTTACGAAAACCCTGTAGATTTTCTAAGAGAAGATAATAATTTTGCAGATATTTCATGATACAAGAGAAAATGACGTGCTCGAGTAGTTTACATGAGATACTGGGAAGCGATATTGGGCGATAGTTGGATACAACATTACGATCACCATATTTAAAGATAGGGATAACTCTACCAATTTTCCAGTCAGACGGAAGCTTGCCGACATTAGGTGACTGCTGAAAAATAACGGTTAAAATTGGGATGAGATATATTTTGTGTTTTTCAGCAATTTCGACTTGGTTTGGTCGTCCCCGGAGCTAGCAGAAATCTTTAACTTTTTTTATAGCTTTACCAAAGCTCAACATATAATTTCGATAGAAAGCATAGCAGAGAGAGAAAGATGATTTACGAGAGGAATATTGTCATTGTTTTCAAATGTGAATACTGAGGTATAGTAAGCATTTATAAGTGAGGCGCTTTCGCTATCTGATGCGGAAATTCTATTAATATTTGTTAGGTGGATGTATTTATGCTCTTTAGAATGAATGATCTCCCATAACTTATTAGGTTTATTTTTTAAAATGTTAAGAAGGTCGAAGTTAACAAAAAGCTCTTTGCATTTTGCACTTCCCTTTTATATTCCTAATTTAAATTCATATTAAAAGAAATTGTTCTTTCAGAGAAGTTGTTTTGAAAACCACCATAAAACTGTTGAAGGTATCTGTTAATTGTATCATAGTCAGCTTTATTATTACTTATTACAAAACAAATCTAGACATTTTATCACCTTCCAAAAACTTTAAATACCGTAGCTTATTTTTTAAAGGGGCTAGATTTATATATGTTTACGTAACTACCATACACCATGAAACAATGAACACGGTACAAGACACGTAGACATCATTCACGAAAAACAAGGTATGCCAGAGCCATAGTTCGTTCTAAGTGGTTATCCTAATTGACGAACGGTTAATTCTGATGATTTACCACTTAGGAACATGTTTAGCTCTGGAAAGTGAGAAGTAAGGACATTCAACATTTCTATACTGAATACATTTTGTTTTAGAGGTTCAGTAAGTGGCCTTAACGTAGAGTGCAAGATGATGATAATGTCATAGAATGAGCATGTTTTTGTGGTCATCAGTGTCCCTCGTGCAGTCATCGCTCTTGAAGTAAAAGCATTGCCTGGGGGCTAAAAAGTGTCTCAAAAGATCAATCGTTTTTATATAGCAGTGTGCATTGGGGGGGGGGGGGGATCTTCTGCCCTGTCTCTCCAATGTTTTTAGAACCTTCTATTCCATTTTTTTATCACCATTTACGTTGTGATAGTCCCCCCAATCGACTTGGTGATCCACACCCACACTACTATATATCTTCCTCAGACACGGACGTTTCTGCCTAGAAATCAATCGCAATTTGTGTAATGTTATTTAAATGCAGATATTTACATAACTTTGAGGCCTTGGTTAAAGAAAAAATGGGGCACTTCCGCATTTGAGAAAGAACGCTTGAATTGCGTTCATTTCGTTTTTAGAATCACAGATATCACAATTTTGTATCAATGCGACGTGCCGGAGAGCTATAAGAGCATTTTCAAAATAGGGCTGAAGCCCCGCCTCCCTAGCCTTGGGCAGCCAAAAGATCCGTCGATGACGTCATGTACAGCGACTGTTATTCGCGTTTTCTCGCGTTTAACAATACTTGCGCAGCAAATGGTGTGGGTATTCAGGTTCGAGGGGTAAAAATACATCGGAATTGACTCCTAACTCATTTTTTTTCAAGAATCTCCGTAGCTTCCCTTTAATTGCGTGCAAGTTTTTTAAATTTATCAGAGCGAAAAATCGGTAAAGCTAGGGGACGTTTTTAGCATGCTCAGGCGTTTAAAAAGGCCGTTAGAGAAGAAATTAGATCAACAGGGCGTTTTTCACCTTTTTCTCTTAAAAAAAAGGTTAATACATTATTTAAAACAAAAAATATCAGATTCACTCAGTAGTTTCCGACTGCATATATGTTCCCTGTAGGATGGTGTAAATTGAAATTCAAATAATTGCCAGTATTATCAACAAAGTTGACTAATATTAAAACTTTAATAATTGCCGCGATTGCATAATCCAGTTACTTTTTATTACAAACAAAATAAACCACTTAAGAAAGAGGTTGATCGTAATTAAAACAATGTTTTGGTTTCCCGGTGTGGCGAACATGCTGTTTCACTCGTGCCGAGCTTCCTAACTTTGACCGACACGTGCACATCAAGCTTCACGGTGATGACAACGCTCCAGGAGCGGTGGCTCAGAGGGGGAGGCGGGGGGGGGGGGGGGAGTTTGGGTTGGCTCTATGTGCTCTGGAATATAGTTGACAAATATACGTCGACCTTTTGCTATAGTATATCAAAATCAACATCAAAATCAATAAACAAATTACACATCTATTCCAAAAGCTATGTAGCTAGCCAAAACCCCTGAAATTGAACTACAGAGCAGTGAACCTTCTGCTGGCAGCGTAATAAATTAGCCAACAAAAATAATTTTTATCGATATACAAAAAAATATCTTTCATGAATGGCAAAGCAACTTTTTTAAAAAGTATTGCAAGCATTACGTAAAGCTAATATGGTAATATTTCTTGCACGATTTCTTTCGGTGTGATTAAAAATGATGCTCATGTTCAGGATAAATATAAAATAACTGAGGACTTCGTAATGTCTACCTACTAAACTACATGTTTCTTCTTTTCTTCTAGTGTCTATGCACCACTTAATTGTGGCATAAATGCTCCTGACTATGCAGAGGTTGATACACACAACCTGACAACTTTCTACAAAAACGATGTGCCTTCAGATCCCGAGCCATATGCCACAACTACATTGATAAATTCTTCACCTCAGAAAAGCTTCAATGAATCTGTGAGTGTCAAGTCACTGTCGTTCTCGGTGGAGGATTTGAGGAAGTGTCCACTAGTCATATGCCGTAAACGCAGTCGAACATATGCAACCTAAGCTCACCCCTTCATCTTTATTGTTTTCATGATAGCTGAAAACATTATTGTGATATCAAACATAATTTACTAAGATTGTAGCTAATTTGAATTCATTAGAATTATCCCGAAGAAATATTTTTGTTTTTAATATTTAAATAGATTCAAACATGGATGTGTGGACACTTGTAAAATCAAGGCGACGTATCATGAAGAAGAGGTATTTAACGTTTCCTATTTCCAGGCTAAAGATGGGCGCAGCGGTATCTCAGGTGAAGAAGGAAGCCGCTTATCGGTCGAGGATTTTGATATTGAGTTGGAGAGATCAAACAAAGGTACTTAAATTCTCACTCCCCGCACAAAAGCTAAGTGAGTGTCGTTCAAAGCGTATCTTTTGCACGATTATTTTATAATAGAATGCAATACAAATCGACTGCTGGGGTCTGAGAAGCACTCAAGTCCAATCAGTGGTTCTGGAAGCCACACAGCAAGTAAGAAATCTTTAGAAAATATTTCGCAAACGAGTACAAAAATATATTTTCAATGGTGACCACATTCTACTGTTTTGATTTAGTTTTAATCTTTTCTTCTTCTAACCCATAGATGATTATGGCATGCCCATAAAGAAGAGCCGGCAAAAATTATTCAAAGCGAATGGCCACCCTATAGGCCCCACGATGAACTGGGCCGAAATTATTCCTCCACCTCCGGAGCAGCCTCCCAGCGATGCTGGTTCAGCACCAAGCAACCCCGCTTCACATCGGGGAGGGTCTTCATACAGTAGGCAACTAAAAAAAAAGGTAGGCACTCTTTGTCATTTCCGTATCTTGGGGCGCTCATCACACAGAAAAGAGCAACGCTTGATACGTTTGTGGCATGTTTGTGCAATTCCTATAACTCCTAGAAATAAAGATAAAGTCTGCATCTCTAAAAATAGCCCACCAAGTGGGGGCTAAGTGGTGTGAAAAGGTACAGTGGTGTGAAAAGGTATGTACCCCAAATCAGCCTAAAAGATGGATGATGTGGTTCATCATTCAATTATGTCTAAGTCAGTTAGTTGCCCAAGGCCATGTCCTTCAAGTAAAAATAAATAATCACAAATGGAATGGGCTATTTTTTTTGGGGTGGGCTGTTTCTTAAGATATTAGAGCTTTCCCAAGGTAAACGTTTTGAAAAAGCATAGGCATCCAGAACAGACTGATTTCATTAGTCATTCAAGTAGTTATGTATCTAACCAACACGTATTTGATTAATTTCTGATATTTCTGCTTTTCTAGTGTTAAGAATCTGAACATTGTGAGGCAATTTCAATTGTTAATACAATGTCATCGCCAGGACTAGTAGATTGTTATATTATGTCCAGTTGGTCGTATAACTCACCTGCACAAACCGTATTAGTGTAGCTTTTGCGGCTTTTTTAAAACAAATATGATAAACAAAAAATGCAACCCTGTATCAGGCATGTAGCCAGGATTTTGTTTCGGGGGGGGGGGGGGGGGGGCACGCATGACAAAATGCTGCGTGAGGGGGAGGGTGAAGAGGAGGACCCAGCAAAATGGAAGATTTTTTTTTGGGGGGAGAGGGAAGGCCCGGGACCCCTGACCCCCCCCCCCCCCCCCCCCCTCCCTGGCTACGTGCCCGCATGCCGAGTGTTTCCGCGCATAGTTTCAAAAGTCCCGACAAACAGGGTGGTCGAAAAATGCGCCAGCCACTGCAGACGTCAGGGGTTACGAAAAACACAGAAACTACTAAATCAATTTCCTCACATTTTACTACTTAACCTCCTAACCTTTTAACTCCTAATACTTAACCTCTTAAGAATAAACGTAAGACACCGATTAGAAACTTCCTGAGCGTTATCAAAAACTTCGAAATGAGTCAATCTGAGGAGGCCTTCAAGCATATGGGAAAAGTGAGGGTGTACGTACTAAAGTTTGCCCTCCTGCAAGAGGCGGTAGGCTGGCGATGGGAAAGGGCACGTAAGAAAATTATCCGCGTTTTCGCATCGTCAGCCTTCTACGTTCCCTTCGGCAGCAACGGGGTGCAGAAGGGAAGGTGGACCTTCACCGTGCACCCTATGCACCCTCACCATTTTCGCGTGCTTGAAGGCCTCCTAAAACTGACTGATTTAGGGGTTATCGTTGTTGCTAAACAAGTTTCTCGATAATTGGAAAATTAAATGAAAAATTAATTATTTTTATAATTAGTGTTTCTTTCTTTTTTAAACCCTGACGTCTGCAGTGGCTAACACGTTGTTCCCGAAAATTTAGTTTACCTTATCCACATTATTGGTAGGGATTTTTGAATGCATTCACAGAAACGCCTCCCTCTATTTCTACAATACACTCAATATTCCTTTAGTAGCTTCCCCTATCTGAACACTTACACGGTCCAGTAATCTTTCAATGCTATGGGTTCATACTCACAGCCTTCACTGTTAATAAGATGGAAGTGAGTTCTAATTTAGTACTACGATTAAGACACACAGATTGCCTGAGGAAAACCATGCTCCCTATTGTTTCAGTCACCCATATAACTTATTGATATTGACCTGAAAACCTTGGAGAATGTTATAATACCGCACTTCCTACGATTAAGATGGCCTGCTTTCAAGTTTTTCAGTGATGCACTCTGATTTGCTTGTGCAGCTACTCTCCGGCTGCTCCCAGGCCTCCCCTAGTAGTGCGACGGTGGTACACGAAGCCCCCAGGTTCATTGCTTCCTCCCCAAGGGCTAGTCTTGACAAATTCAACCACAGCCTCGGGACCTGCTACACGGACCCCATCACGGGCCCCCTTTTCACCACGAGAGATCTCAGGCCGCTGCTGAGGCCTCCCCAGCAGCCGCAGATCCAAACGCAACCATCACCCTTCTGCCAGCCTCTCATGGACAAAGGGGTGCAGTCGTCTCTCCCGTCACTAGTCAGCGAGTCACACTCCTTTTCACCTGCCCTTGAGCTGTCTGGGCCGCACCTCGCGACGCCTCAAGGTCAGTTGGTATAGCGCATATATTACTTTGCAGTTGTAACAAACTGTTTTATCCCATGGCCTGAGAAAAGGATGATCTCTTTGGTCAGACATGTAGCTTGGTAATATGCCGCAAAGTTTACATATTCTCTCAATAATTGTTTTTTCTTGCATAAGAACCATCTTTATGTAATTCCAGTGTTTACCATAGCAATAGGTACTCTCCGGCAATATGAAAGACCCACTGGGAGCGCGTGGCCGAGGCGGTGGCTGGCGGGGGCGCTGCGAGCGCTCCGAGCATTTTCATTCTGCTTCGAGGAAGGGACGTTCACTCGGGCTCAGCTAAAGCGAAACGCGCTTATCAGATTGTGTTGAACCCCGAGTGAGCGTCCTGCCCTCGAAGCAGAATGGAATTGACCGGAGCGCTCGCAGCGCCCCCGCCAGCCAACGCCTCGGCCACGCGCTCCCAGTGGGTTTTTCATATTGCCGGAGACTGTACTATGTGCAGTATACATTAATTAGGACTTGGTTTAGGTATACCCATTTTATACCATAAAACATCGAGCAAGCACCCACCAAATCTTAGGTGATAATCGTAAAAAGCTGGTCAATAAGCACTTGCTAAGTTCAAGTGAAAAAATAAAGACACATAAGAGGGCAGATTTCCCCGCTTCTCTCTGCCGTCCCTTACCGATTCCAGCTAATTAGGGCTAGGCTAAACTAGGTGACGTAAAACCTAAACGGCGCACCACCACCACGCTTCTCACGGGGGTGCTTTTAAAAAGGAGCTGACAAGGAGGAGCATCTTGGTTAGGTAAATGGTATCAGAGGTCTCGGGTGGATGCTTGATGTGCCTTTTGCTTAGTCTTCAAAGACTTCAGACAAGTGGCCACATTGTGACATTGGTGCATGTTCTATATTTTATGGTATTTCACTGCACTGTCCAATTAGATATATATGTGAAGTGACGGCGGTGGTGTCCTTTTTTCTAAGGGCATGATCCTAATATAATCCGAAAATAACGTTTGTTTTTTAAACTGAAACAACAAGAACACATTCCGTTATGTAGAAGTAATTTCCACCTGCAATTGACTTTTACTCATAGGGACAAAATCCACAATCGCTTCTCTGCTGCACAGCATGCACCAGAAGTCGCGCTTTTCCTCTTATAGTTGTTCTATCCCTACTTCAACTGGAGGGTGCTTGATGTCTGAGTGTGTTAGCATGAAGCCTGCACCGCAAACTCACATGATATATGTTTGCGTAATGCGCACCAAGGAACCCATGCCTAGTCATAGTGCAACCTCCAAATTACCCCACAGACAAGACACATGTCACAGCATCTGAAAACAGGCTGTGTCTTGAAATACTTAATCACAGTTTTGGCATACCAAGTACGTTGTGTATGAAAATAATATCGCGTCTCAAAACCCCCCCAAAAAAGATATATACAAATATTTCATCTCTTAAACGCATCTGAAGACATGACAAATTTATGGAATCAACTATTCTTCACCTTCTATGGGCGTAGCATTGTCACCGATATTTTTGCAAAGTCAACTTAGTCATACCAATCCATCTGTTGAACCAGGAAATATTTACCAGTTCCTGAATGGAGAGTCGGATGCAGAAAATATTTCACGGCCACGTTCCCTTGAGTCCAGTGTGGCCGGAGACACAGACTATGCACCGAGTCATGGTAAGTTAGGCACGCTGCGCTCAGTTCAAGCAATACAAATGTACATTTTAAAATAATCTAAGTTTAACACGTTTACTCACTTTTAGCATGAAATACCATTAATCATTAGCCTGTCTTCTTAACGTGCAATATGCGTGTTGATTTCATGATAGCATTCCACATAGGTAAAACAAATATGGTGATGTAGGGCTCTCAGCATGCACTTGGTAAAAGTGTAATCGAAATTCCGCTAACGTAGAATAATGTAAGGTTTCTTGCCCCCTGCACCAGCTAGTACGTGTTTCTTTCTTGGCAGATAGAAATTGGGGTTGTAAATCTTTAAACTGTTTTATGACAAAGATATAATAGTTCCTTGATAGAACTTTCAGGTGGCCACATATACATTAATTAAGGAAAGCTGTCTGAAATTTCAGTCTGATTATCCCCTGTGGTGTTAAGTATATGTACCTAAAACACACGGTTCAGGATTTTGACCTCACCTATATTACTTATGTGCACGGTTACAAGTTTACTTTTGTTCTTCCTAAAGCAAAATGCTCCCATAGTAACGCTATAAGCATCCATGAATATATATGTATATATATTACCATGTTTTATATTGAAAAAAATACAGAACGTATTTTACTGGATATTATAACATTATTTCTTATGTAAACATACAGCTGTAGTACTAATACTGTTAAATTTTTGTTGTCGTGACCCATATTTTTGCATATCCAGCATAGAATGTTTGATGTCCTTAAAGGGGGATGCAATGATTTTCGGAGTTCGGTCAAAGATTTCTGGAAGGTGCCCTCTGACACTTCTGAAGTAAAAAACAGAAAACCGATTTTGCCTGCTTGTCCTAGTTGTTACGTAAAAAAAAAAAAAAGATAAATATTGGCATTTCGGGCACCCCTCAACTCACTCCCAGCCTCCAGGGTCACATTTGGTCCCCCTACTAGCGACGTCATTCGGAGTGCCGTGTAGGTTCCCGTGTGCTATCTCGGGGGATGCTTCCTCTCCCTCTCTCTGCTGACATTAGCGGGCATTATGCTGCAGCTAGAGCCGAGCGAGGTCACGTAATCTTTTCGCCGTAGTTCCTTCGGCTGCCACTTGGGGCTGCAGTGGGGGGGAAAAGCTCGACTTTTGCTTTGCGAATATGCAGCGGAATCGCGACATTTTTAGTAAAGGAGATATTTTTTCTATCCTCCGGGACACGATAAACAACGTGAAAATGACGAGATGCAAATTCTTTTACTCATAAAATCGTTGCACCGCCCCTTTAAAGTTGAAGCCCAAATTTCTGGAGTGAAACAGAATATTTAATGACCCTAATTTTGTACGTTGGGTAGGCCAAAATTTCGGTCTGATACAAGAATATATTCCGCAACAAGACATTCTTTTCTCTTTTCGCCTTGACGAGCCGCGATTGTGTAGGGTAGTATTCTATAATTTCTTCAAATATACCACGCAGTTGTGAAAAGCCAGCCATTAACTCAACCCCACTTGTGTCCATCTTTAATAAACCTCTTGATTTCTTACATATGAAAATTGTATTTTTAATTAAAATCTCACAATGATGTAGTGTTTTACAAGGTTGGCTTTGTTGGTCATTTTTGGCGCCGTAGTAAACGAAAGCAAAAGGTTGTGACGATGGGTGTTTGGCGCCAAGTTCTTGTTGCTAGGAAATAACCGGATTAAACTACATCTAAATTCTAATTTTTGGCTTCCTATATTTCTTGCAGTACCATCGTGGGAAAGCACAACAGAACACAGCAACAGCTCTTGCACAAGCGGCCGCTCCAGTGGTGCCAGTTCTTACAATGACTCTGTCTACAATGAAGTAGATTTCGCCAGCGCTGTGGCTTTGGCAGCACAAAATGCTGGCCTACAGGCCAACGGGTCAATTATTTCTACAGCTCGCATAATAAACAGCTACGATATAAAAACGGCACGTGAGAACTTGACAAAAGCTCGGTTAAAACAGCAACTGGATACAAACTGCTGAATATCATTGAGAGCTTTTGCTTTAAGTCCTCAAAGCATGCGTCAAAGCAGTTGGTCAAGATCCGCTGAGAGATTTTTAATGCCTGCAGTGAGACATTCTATATGTTCTTTGATGTTTTTTATTAAGTAGTGCATGACTATTTTTTTTGTTATTAACGTCTTGACGAGTTAGTCTCGCTTCTATTGTAAGAGAGCTTGTTCCAAGTTTAATTGGTGTGAGGCTGTCTAGCTGATGAAGTCTCTTCGCAGATATCTTTGCACCCTCCATTGTGCGTTAGGTTCTAATATTACTCAAGCATGTGCAGATATGTTTTATGAAAGAAGATTACAGTTTATGTCGCCGAATGACTGCTCCAAGATATGCCTCCCTTTAATAAGGCGAATCCGCTCTCAGAAACTGTAGACAAAAAGGTGTTTATTCACTAGTATTAATTCGACGCATTTTCATATCTTAGCAGGAAAAATGCAAATTCATGCCAGTCAATCACAGCAATCTGCAAAAGGGGCCAAGCAAATAAGGAAGCATGAAAATGTTTTTTCTGCAAGTCTAGCAGCGCAAACGGCGTTTATATGAATACTTTTTATATCTCACTCGTCACTTGCTGAAAACACTTAGCCATACATGCGTTGTCTGTAAACAGGGTACACGTTATTTGAGTAAATACAATAAAAATATTCGAAGAACCACAAACGACATAAATAATAATATTTCGCGACCTAAAAAATGAAAGCAGAAAAAAAAACGCGCAGTCCGAGCCTGCACCACCTCGACGACTTAAACGTTAATAGTGCGCTTGGATGCGTTACTCCTCGTAAATTGAAAACTGTCAAAAATATTACGTTGCATAAGAGTAAAAATGAAAGGAGATCAACATAATCCAGAAAACTTCATTAGATATTACACAGGAATTAAAAAAAAATAATTGAATATTACCTTCACATATTTGTTCAAGTTTTCTGCAGTTGTTTGCCGGCACGAAAGTTAATTATTGGCATGCAATATTTTATTTTTCTCCTTTTTGATAGAAAATCCCCTTCAAGCTTCGGCAGTTATTGCGACAGATGCCATACGTAAAACAAAATGAAGTTTAAATGGCGTTCTGAAAGAAAAATAGGAAACCAACGCTTAATGCTCTGGTAACAAACGATATGTTAGTCAAAGGGTATTGTGACATATCTTTTATTATCAATTTCATGTCATAGTGCTCTCTTCTGGGGACCACCTGGAAAGAAGAAGTAATCCCTCTTTGAAGTCTCTGAGAGTATGCTCGCAGTGATGAGGAGAGGGACTCGATGAAAAGAGGAGGCAAGGATCTCTCAGTGTTGCCAACCGAGGCGAGCTTCATCTGGCTCAGTGTCTAGAACTCACGTAGATACTCGTAGGGCTAGAAAACCTGAATCTCTACGGTGGCTGTGAACCGGATCGTGAGGTGCAGGAATGTGGCTCACGGTGTTCACCAGCGCATATAAGTCACTGTCGGCGGAAAACTGGTGGCGAATTACCGTGTGCCCGGATACTCCCAGACAAGACATGCAAGAAAATGTGCCCCGAACCCCAAACTTTTCCCCTAGATGTCTGTGATTGTGCGGAATGAACGATAAAGAACAGCACCTGTGTCGCGCCTCAGAAGGTCCACGATCGCCGAGAATCGGCGAAAGACGATTGGCTTGTGTCTCCCTCGGGGAATTTACGACTAGGGGCCCACCTCCTCGCCCAGGGGAGGCAACAGAAAGAAACGGTTCTTCGGGAGTTCTTCGTCTTCCGCCACAACTTTGCACTATGCAATAAACCTTTGTTAAGTTTGTCTTCCTGTGAGTCTTGATTCCTAACTGCACCGGCGCCGCTCCTGCGAGTCGATGGACGCCGACAGTCTTGCCATGCTACGTTGCGTGTGAGGTGGCACTCTCATCGCAACCAGCGCCTATTGCGCCTAGATTACATGCTCGATCGGAGTCGCGTGGTTTACAAACCTCGTTTGCAGTACAAGCTTGAAGGAAGAGTCGAAAGTGTTTATCTTCTGCAGGCGTCTCTGTGCCCTCTTTCCCCCTGGCCCTGAGACAACGCAAAACATACGAACTTGTGACTAACCCGCACAGGAGGCGTCCGCCATTACATCTCAAACGCTCTTTACGGTTGGAGTTTCTCCTACTAAAGTCTAGGCTCTCTACCAGCGCGTTCCAGTCCGGTCAGGCTAGGCTCAGGGTGTTTGTTTGTTTCTTTTCTAACTCGAACTTGGAAGAGTCGAGGGCCGGTTCCCGATTCCTCTGCTTCTGGGTGGTATTTTTTCACAAAAAAACTTAGTCACTGAAAAACAAAACATTATACGAAGGCCCTACGGTTTTCGACGTGTAGGTAACGCCAGCACGCTAGTGTCATGGCCAATCAATATAGGAACGGCTCAATGAGCTCAGACAGTAGAAGCTCCACCTCCAGTGCAAGCTTTCTATCCTAAAGACTGACGTGCATTTCGCACCTTTCCAGTTTAATATAATTACTCCTTTCGCTATTCTCTCCACCTTTCAATTTCCCCTCACACGGCTCCCTTCGGCGCTCAGAAGACGAGGGCGTTAAGAGGATTATATTACATGCAGAAGACCAATGTTGTACGTCTGCCTCTAAATAACACTTAAGCGTCCTATATTCAAAGCAGAATATATCCTACAAGCGCGTGCTGAGGTAGCGCTCCACTCAACAACGCTCTATGGCAGCACGCACTCGCGAAAAGCGCCGAGTACGGCCGTCGGAACTGCTGCCAGAAGAGTCTGGCCCTACCTTGCAGTATAGCGACTCATTTGCACACTCCCTGGTGCAATTGAGGTGCTAAAAGTTACCCTAAAAGGGTGGTTATCCTTTAAGCCTGTTCTCGCTTTTGCCTTCTCATTTGGACGTCAGCGCAACTCGCATTTAGGAACCACGTATGAACAAAGAAATCGAATTTCCCCACATCTTAAGATGAAAAGTTTCATTTACCACTATTAAAGCTTTATCTACTATTTAAGCTATATATAAATTTGCAATTCAAAGGGCTAAAGTATAGCACAGTCAGCAGCCATATGCAGCCTGCTATTATTCAAAGATCGTAAAATTAATTTTTCATATATACGGCGCATGTCTCAAGTTCTAAGTAAAAGTTATTGCGCTGCTTATTACATGTAAAAACACAATTACTAGATTCATAATCATAAAAATAAAAATATTCGTTTGTATAGATAGGATTTTGTATATAATGGTTTGTCTGCATTTGTGAGAATATTTCACAACAGAAAGTCTTTTGTTAGAGTTCTTCGAAGCTTGTGAAAATGAATTATTGCTTATAAGTGTTTGTTATTGATCTTCTCAGGCGAATCACACCTAATTTCCTCACTTCGTGAACAAATATGTAGTGAATTATTTTATATTCATATGCAAAACTAAATGCTTGCTTTCAGAACAAAACAAGAACAACAACATTAACTTCCGGGGCTGAATATAGTTATCACTTTAAGAAACGCAGAGTTTGCGCTTTGTGTCTTAACAGTTACATTCTTTACACATCAATTTCCGTGGCTCAACATAGCGACCTTCTTTAATAAACGCACCTTTGCGTTGACAGTAAAGTGCTTTATTAAATGTTGATCACTCACGTCGAGAGAACCACGCGGGCCATATCTAATCGTGGGAAACATTTACGCACATTATTTCTATTAGACGCCACATTATGGTTATGGAGATTTGGATGGAAAATACACTAAGAAAACACAGCAACCATCCGGCGTATAACAAATGCGCTATCCCCAGGAGAGCGGAAGAAGCTCAGCTTATGCGCTCGTCGCACTTGCGGAAAGCAAAATGCACTTTGCATTTAAATGAATCCGAGACAAGCGGCTCTATTACAGTGAATAATGACTTTAGTAGAAAGAGCGGGGGCTTTTTTGAACATGTCCTCTTGCATTAAAGGCGTTGGAACCCTTGTACGAGGAAAATTAAATATCTACGCGCTTATTTCTGCAAACGAAGTAGAAGTTCATAAGGGTGCAAACATGTGTTTGGTTTCGGAACAGTGATCGTTAGGCAGCGTTGTTATTTCTGGATTCGTTAAGGTCGAAGCCATCTCAGGCCACGATCGCGGCCTTCCGACATTTACAGCCCCTGATTCAGCGGATCAAATTCATGCTGAAATTTTCTGCGTAGTTTGGAATAATTTTCATTTTTTTAACCAATCATTCCTGTTTTTATTCTTTAACTGAAGCGTCTCATTGTAAAACATTTACCTGGACCCTAAAACACGTTGATAGCCTAAAAGCAATTCCACCAACAGCCGGTGTTTGGGCACAGGAATGATTTACGCGCAACCTGTTTTGTAGACGTTACACGACAAAAAGTAACCAATTACAATTACAATTACTCGGTTAAAAGACATTCAATTGAATTAGTTGATGACTTTAGTAGAAAAATAATTCGCCGTTCCTTAAAAAGTAAACGTGACTTTTCCGATGACTTCAGATTTGCATATGACAGATTTTCCTGCCGGTATGAAACAAGTCTTTTATGCTTGACCTTAATAGAATAGCGCAAACTGAACAAGGGCAAAGAGGCAGACTTGCGACCGGACTGGCGCTGACTGGTGCCTCTTCGTCCTTGTTCAATTTGCGCAATTTTAATAATATGAAGCATGAACCAACAAGCCCAGTGAAACGTCAGGCCTTCCATACTGTCCGTTATTCGATTCTGATAATCGATTTATGCACTACCTATTTTCTAAATCCACCAATTTCGGTAAACCACCCTCTTGTAGGGGAATCGGTTCAAGGAACAAACTTGTAGAAACAAAGGACGTAGTTAAAAAGACGAGGGAAAATGGTCACATTTACCAGTAATTTCAGCACTTCTCAAAGTGATTAGATTGCTCTTGGGATTACTGTATAATAAAAATAATGAAAGGATTGCAAATATACTCCGAAAAGTAGTCTATTACAAGTAATATGATTAGCTGTAATCAGTATCGTACACGTCTGCGAGGGAGGCAAGGGGCAGTGTCCTGAAAAGTACGGAAGCGTAGATGAGTCAGGCCTTAAGCGCGAGACACACGGACGGCAGAATCGTCCGATCCAAGGTC